TACGCGCGCGCGTAAAAACGCCGCCAGGTTGTGCGACCCTGAAGAGACTGACACCACACGATGGCTGCCCGAATAGGCCGCTCGCATATGGATTAAGAAGAAGAGACAAAGTGGACAAAGGCCACTTGTACTTAAATACGGTGCCGCGGGATCTGCTGCCCCGGAAGGGAACGTGCTGTCGATATGAAGGACAGGTTGCAGACGAGGACGCCTTGACGCAGCCTACGGTGACACGGCAAGTCGAGAGACACGCGCAGAGTTTGATGTCCACGCAGAAACGGTTAGAGTAAACTCTTCTCTGTTATTCTGTCTGTCTTATCTTCCCAACATACACCTTGGGGACATAAAAGCTTGCAAAATCTATGAAGTGGTTGCACGCACTAACTCTCTTAACTCGATAGCATCGCAGTGACGGTGAGAAGATATCACAACTGCATTTAGCTACTGTCGATTATTTCAGGAGTTTAAGCAACTGCACAGCATGAAAGCATCTTCGAACAAATGGAGTCTTAACTTGATCCTTGCAAAATTACAATCTGCAATTGAAAATATTTCTGTAGATCAACAGAAGGGAGCTAGAATACCAACAAAAATATGGGTAAAGCGGAAACGAAAAGCATATGATAAAGCCCTGACGATGACATCAAAACGGACCTGAAAGCTGTCAGCAAAACCAGCCATCACACTTGAAAGTACTGTATACAAGCCCTGAGCGCTAGGACTGAAATAGAATCCAATACAGCGTCCGTAAAATGCATCCTGTTGAACAAGATCAAAGCAGTCAATCAACGCATTGTAGCGTGTGGTCATCGCAGGCGTTTGTGGAAACAGGGGCTCGATCTTAAACAATGCCTCGTCTATGGTCCTTGTGGTGGACGGCCGAAAAGGCAGGTGCGGATACTTGACAGATGGAAACAGACTTCCATGGGGTGCGAAGTTGGGAAACTGGCGAACAAGGAGGATGCAGTGAACCAACTCCTCCAGGCAGCGTAAGTAAGCAATCAGTGATTTTTCAGTGCTGAGTGACCTAAAGTCAGAAAGTTCCCGCTAGTTACATGAACAC